CCAATAGCTTGAAAATCATGGGCACAGGCACATATGTGCATGCATCCAAGATCCTGAGAAGGAACTGCATGCACTGTGGCCATTCCCCCCAGAGGGTGATTTCTCACTTTCTCTTTTCCTAGAGAGTACACACACCCTATGGCAAAAACTGGAAGAACAAAAAGGATTCTTGCTCTCTTTCAGCCTCTTATAGGTAAGAGTTCATTTTCATACATCTTTCACACTGAACAGGGAGACTTCACTGGGTCTTAATAATGATGAGTCTGGTCCAATAAGCCTAGAGCAACAGTTCTCCAACTTTTTGGTCTCAGGACTCTTACACTCTTTAAGTTTTAGAATCCATAAAGCTCTGGTTAAGTGTTATATCTATTGATGTTTACAGTAATATCACAACAAAGAAAAATTATTTTAATTTGCTACAGGGTGTGTGCACTTAAAGGAGACAGAAAAAGAGGGAAAGTAAAAAGTGCCCCCCCCCCATGGGAACAGTCAAGTCGTAATCCTCTCTTCCATTTCTCCCTCCTTACAGGACTTTTAGGCACACAACTACACACACTTGCCGTGTTTCTCAAACTGCTGGGTGAAGGACAGGAACTGCTGTTGCCAAGGGGGATCCAGCCTCCTTAACCACTACTACATGACTGGCTGGCCCAGGACTGTTTTAAATATTTATTAACTCATTTAAAAATAACCACAAACCTTAGGGCCAGCAGATAGCGTGGTTAAGGCACTGGACTCCCACCAATCACAATTTGAATCCTTGGCTCGCCAGCTTGAAAATCAAACTAGACACATGTATGTGACCAAAACCCTGAAAGGAGAATGGAGGAGAAGGCACTGCAGCTTGGCCATCCCCCTAAGGGGGTGATTTCTAACTTTACCTCTCGCTGTCTCTTCTCGAGGACATGTGCCCTATGACAAAAACCTAAAACAATAAACCCATTATATGTTAACAAATAACATTTTGTTAAAAAGTTTTCAAACAGGGCCAGCAGGTAGCACAGTGGTTAAGGCGCTGGACTTCCACATGGTTGAACACGGTTCAAGTCCCAGACCTGGCAGCTTGCTTTCTCACTTTCCCTTTTTCTCTCTCTCTAGTCAAATTAAAAAATAAATAATAGTAAAAAATGAAATGAAATAATTCTTTTTAAAAAGTTTTCAAGCAACCAGCAGATGGCGTAAGGCTTACGTCACTGGACTCCCACGTAGTCAACTGCAGTTCAAGTCCAAGACCCATCGCTCCAGGGGATGGGGCCAGCAGATTGCGTGGTGGTTAAGGGCAATGGACTCCCACATGGCAGACCGTGGTTCCAGTCCCGGACCTGGTGGCTTGCTTTCTCACTTTCTCTCTCTCTCTCTGTCTCTCTCTGGTCAAATTAAAATAAATAAATAAATAATTCTTTTAAAAAACCTTACTCCAAGATAGGTAGATAAGGAAATCCAGACACTGCAGCCTTCTTTTTTCCAAGAGGCTGGGAATATGGCAGACATTCAGACTGAGTGTGCTTACTAAAACCAGCCAACCATCTTCCAACACAAGAGGGTTCTGCTGGGAGAAACTGGAAGAAGCAGCAACCAAGATACTACAAGAACTTCGGTGTAGGCTCCAAAACTCCCAAAGAGGCCATTAAGGGTACCTACATTGACAAGAAATGCCTGTCCACTGGTAATGTGTCCATTCAAGGACAAATCCTGCCTGATGTAGTGACCAAGATGAAGATGCAGAAAACCACTGTCATCCACTGGGACTACCTCCACTACATTACAAGTATAATCGTTTCGAGAAGCGTTAAAAGAGTATGTCTGTACACCTGTCCCCGTTTCAGGGATGTCCAGATTGGTGACATCGTCATGGTTGATGGGTGCTGGCTCCTGAGAAAGACTGCACTCCAACATGTTCAAGGTCACCAAGGCCACCAGCACAAAGAAGCAATTCCAGAAGTTCTGAGCCTGGACACCTGCCTGCTCCCCAGTAAAGTTATTTTCCCATCCCCCCCCCAGCAAAAAAAAAAAAAAAATCACTCTGGAGGGACCAGCAGATGGCATAACGGTTACATCTCTGGACTCCCACATGGTAACCATGGATCGGGTCCCAGACAATGGAGAAGGGATTGCTGTGTGGCCATTTCCCCAGGGGGTGATTTCTCACATTCTGTCTCTGTCTCTCCGGCAAGCGCACACGTCCTATAGCAAAAATCTCTCTCAAGAGACCAGCAGTTGGCATAATGGCTATGTCGATGGACTCCCATGTAGTCAACCACAGTTCGAGTCCCAGATCCAGTGGTTTAAACCCACACCAGGTATATGTGCGTGTGTGCCCAAGATCCCGAGAGGAGAATGGAGGAGAAGGGATTGTGGCATGGCTATCCCCCCGGGGAGTGATTTGTCGCTTTCTGTCTCTCTGTCTCTTATTCTGGCGAGCCCATATGCCCTATAGCAAAAAAATAAAATAAAAAACTCTCAAAAAAAAAAAAAAAAAAACTCACTCTGGGCATGTGTGTGTGCATGCCCATGCATACACATGCATGGCCAAAATCCCGAGAGGAAAATGGAGGAGAAGGGATTGTAGCGTGGCCAAACTCCCTTGGAGGTGATTTCTCATTTTCTGTCTCTCTGTCTCTCTGACTCTCCAGCAAGTACACGGGCCCTATAGAAAAAATTTCTCTTAAAGTTTTCAGGGGACCTGGGGACCAGCAGTTAGCCTAATGCCTATGTCTCTCGACTCCCACGTAGTCGAACGAGGTTCGCGTCCCGGACCCGGTGGCTTAACACTCATGCCAGGCACGTGTGCGTGCCCAAGATCCCGAGAGGAGAATGGAGGAGAAGGGATTGCAGCTGCAGCGTGGCCATCCCCCCTGAGGGGGTGATTTCTTGCTTTCTGTCTCTGTCTGTCTCTGTCTGGCAAGCGCACGCGCCCTATAGCAAAAACCTCTTAAAAAAAA